CTTCCTTCCTTCCTTCCTTCCTTCCTTCCTTCCTTCCTTCCTTCCTTAATAAATATTTGCTCTGGTTTTTTTTTTAAAAAAAATCATGTTTTTGCATGTAAAAAGGCTGAATAAATAGTTTTATGTTTACTGAGATACTAAAGCAAAACAGCAACAGTCATTTATTCATCAGGTCGTGGGAAGAAATCAGGGTATGATTTATTGTTTTTTCCCTTTTCATCTTCAGTGGGAGATGAGTGCCATCCCCTATAGTCAGAAATGACTAGTGGAGTAAAATCCTCAATGAATCCAGGTTCTCACCAGTTCTGGAGAACCAGTAGCGAAAATTTTGCGTAGTTCGCAAAATCCCACCTCTAACTGGAGATTTTACAATATCCTTCCCCTACCACGCCCACCAAGCCACGCCCACAGAACCAGTAGTAAAAACAATTGAATCCCACCCCTGAATGAATCCTATCTTTTCCCTTCCTTCCTCCTTCACCTTTGTTTTTGTTTTGTTTTGTTTTAAGGAAAAGAAGCAAAGTTGGTTTGAATCCTCATGAAAAAATACTGTTAAAGCGGGAGGTCTTAAAGAAGGGTTTGAATGGACGAGAGAACTGGAGTGCTTGGGGAAGAGCGACTGTTCCAAACAAGGTTGAGCCTGATAACAAGAATCAGAAAAAGTTAGTGGGACTGACAGTGGTGTCAAGGATTGGGCAAAGCAGAAAGAGAGGAAGAGGAGGAGGGGGAGGGAGAAGTACAAATCAGTGAAAAACATGTATGCATTTCAGACTAAAGTTGATCCAGAATAAGGAGGAAAAGAGTGCTGTTACAGAAATGGGAGAGAAAGAGTTGTTGCAAGGATGTGTATCACATCAACACACGCACAAAAAAAATCTGGAAATAATTCCAAGGGGAGAGGGCCTTCAACTTCTCACTTTCTTCTACTCTGTTATGTAGGCATCCTGAAGAATCGCCTCCAGTACCCTCCAGCTTTGCAAGGCCTTTCATCTGTGGGCAGAATGACCAATGATCTTTCCTGGTACAAAACCTCCACCTTGGGCCACAGGGCAGTCCCGGCTGCTTCTTATGGCAGAATCTATTCAGGAACAGGCAGCCTCTCACAGCCAGCAAGTCGTTACTCGTCCCGGGAGCAGCTTGATCTGTTGATGAGAAGGCAGATATCCAGAGATCAACTGAGCAGAAACACCTCTGGAGAATGCCTAGAAAATATGGCAAGCAGGCACAGGTCCCGGGAACAATTGGATGCCATTATGAACAGGCCTGGGTCAAGGGAGCCCCTGGACACAATCCTCGATCAACTTGGATCTAGAGAACACCTTGCAAGCATACCCAGCAGGCATGGGTCTAGAGAAAAAGTAGATGAAATAGCTACTGAACGTGATCCAAGAGATCACAGGAACACTCTACCCAGAAGGCAGACATCTAGAGACCATCTGGATTCTTTACCCTGTAGATTTGGGTCACGAGAACAGTTAGACTGCGGTGGGGCAGTAAGAGAAATCTCTAGAGAATGGCTTAATACAATGCCTCTTAGGCAGGCCTCTAGAGATCGAATGGACACCTTGCCAGCCCGAGATACTTCTCGAGAACAGTTGGATCTGCTTTTTAGAGGGCAACCTTCAAGGGACCAACTAACATCAGCTAGGCATACTTCAAGAGAGCATCTGGACATAGTGCCTGGCAGGCAGGATCCTTGGGAAAATATTGAGCCTCTTTCTAGGCAGCAACCATCTAGAGAAAATCTTGAACTTCTCTCCAGAAGACCATCTTCTAGAGAAAATCTAGAAGCAATCCCTAGCCGTCACCCTTCCACAGAACAATTAGACATCCTTTCTTCTATCCTAGCCTCTTTTAACTCTTCGGCTTTGTCATCAGTGCAGTCATCCAGTACTCCCTCAGGCCCACAGACTACCCCCACCCCTTCTGTGGCACAGGCATCGTCTACTCCTTCCATGCCATGCACTTCACCACCTCGGTCTGCAACATCCCACAGCATTTCCGAGCTGTCACCAGATTCTGAGTAAGTGTTACCCCTCTACTGACTACCCAAGTAAAATGAGTATGTTTAGAAATGTAAACCCTCCTATTGAAGAAAAGACATGCTGAATTACAAGAAGCTTAAGCTCTGGTTGAAGGACTTGCAAAGGTAATTGCATTTCAAGATGTCTTTGGTTTGATCATAGGTCTCTCTCTGTCCTGTACTCAGTATGCCGATCATAGTTAAAGTTCACCATGATCATGAGGCCAAACACATACCAGGATTTGACTGAAAGTTCTCGCTGGGTAGCTTTCAGCACAAGATCTATTAAGTTTTATGTATTTATGTAAATTGATATGCCGCCCATCTCCCCAATAAGTGAACTCCAGGCAGCTTACAGATCATAAAAAGATAAATAAAAAAGCAATTTAGAATTTTAAAACTATGAAAAAAGATTAAAACCAAGAGACAGTACAGGAACAAGGTCTTTTTACCTCGAAAAACCCCTTCAGCAGCAAGCACTGCCTTTCAGGGCCCCAAGCCAACCTCCAAAATCAAGTTTTAATACCCTTCCAGAAGGCCAAAAGGATGGGAGCAATCCTCTCCTCCAGTTATACCGTATTCCACAAGGTTGGGACCACAGCTGAAAAGTCTCTTTTCTTTCACCCTGTCCAATGGAATTCCTCAGTACATGAGGAGGGCCTCCTAGTAGGCCTCTTTCACTGGTCGGAGTGAGGTGGACTAATCCCATTGGGGTGCGATGCTTCCTCAGATGCTTGCTGCAAAATTATGCAAAGGAGTGCATAGCAGCACTAATTTTTTTTCTTTGCTGCCATTACTTCTATAGTATTCCACTTTATGGATGCAATCTCATTACTCCCTCCAGAACATACTAGACAGAGGTGATATTCAGCAGGTTCTGACCAGTTCTGGAGAACCAGTAGTGAAAATTTTGAGCAGTCCAGAGAACTGGCAAATACCACCTCTGACTGGAGATTTTCCTTCCTCTGACACACCCATCAAGCCACATCCGCAGAACCGGTAGTAAAAAAAATTAAACCCACCACTACTACTACATCATAATGTAATGTCATTTAAAGGTCATCCTGGGGAGAGATAAGAAGAGTGCGATTGCCAAGTTTCCCTTTGAAGGTCCTTCAGAAAATGATACAATTTGGTGGCCAATATCAATAAAGTGACATAAATAGAATAAAAACAAAGAAATGAAAAATGACTTAGCTTAGTTGTTGGTGGGTATTTTCAATCTGCAGTCACTAGTAGCATTTACCAAACTATACAGCGTAAATGTCAACTTCTTTAAAATTCACTATATCTTTCATAGCTTCCTCTAAAGAATACGGAAAATTATAATTAGTGAAATGCTAAACTCCATCACTGCTACCTACAGTTCCTAGAGACCCCTTTAAGGGATGCATACATGGGACATTACTAGATGTTTCTTTATCTCCATGTGGATCCCTAAATCCCAATCTTTCTATCTTGTTGCTGTCATATCAGCTCCGGGTTCCTTCTTGCTTTGTCTTCAAATCTTTGTGACCTGGCACAATGGAAGCTGCTCAATAACGCTGCTGGCTGATCCATAAAACCTCAATTCACCTCCTGTGTAGATCTATAGCCATATTTTAAAATGTCCTCAAACTAATATACTGTAGCTATGCCAAAAGTAGTTGGCAACAAATACTAGAAAGGAATCCAGCATACACATTGATAGTAAATTGCACTGATAAATTAAAATAGATCATTCATCCTTAGAATCTTAAAATGCCCTGGGAGAATTCTGAGACCTACCTGTTTATGTTTATGGCTGTAAATTAACTAAAAGCAGCTTGAGCACTTGATTATTTATTTATTCATTCATTCAATTTACCGGTAGTGCTCTACTTACAATCATTCATTCAGCAACCTAAGTTACTACCGTACTGAATGAAGGGAATTACAACCTGTGCCCGAAGTTACAGCCATTATAATGCCCGTATGTCCAAACAATCAAAATGTGGCCACTTGGCCACCTGCCCATTCTTATGTCCATAGGGGGCTCTGCAACTCCCCCGCCCTGCCCACCTATCTCCCCCCCACACACACACACACCATCAGTGGCCTTTTGACCCACCATCACTCTGTGTCCCACTGCCCCAGCTCAGCTCTGCCATCTTGTTACCCAGGCTGGCAGGGATCTATGACAATTTTCTGCAGCCAACTTGCCACAAACAACTTACCATAGAACAACTCGTCCCAGTCAACTCACCGCAGGACAATTTTCTGTAAGAAAAGAGATACACTAATATCAAAGAATTGTTAAAGAAAGGATGCAAAAGGAGGGACAGAATGAAATGTGAATGACAAAAATTAAAATATTTGTTTATTTATTTTAAATAATTAAATTGAATTGTTAAATTGTCCTGCGATGAGTTGTCTTGCAGCGAGTTGGCCATGAGGGGTTGTCCGATAGTGAGTTGGCTGTGGTGAGTTGACTATGGCAAGTTGGCTGCAGGGAGTTGGCTCCCCCATTTTTCAGAATGCAGGGTGGCAGTGGTGGCTGGGACTGGGCAAGACAGGATGCAGGGAAGCCAAAAGGGCACATTGGGGGAAGAACTTGGTGGGTGGAGGGAGTTGGAGGGAAGGCAGTCCCTTACCCTACTGAGTCTTGGGGCTGGCCTGAAATGGCTTGGATTGGGGTGGGATCTCAGCTAATGACCAATAAAATTGGGTTCCACTTGCTAAGTGGAATGAGCCACAGTGGTGTAGTGGTCAGAGTGCAGTACTGCAGGCTTCTTTGCTGACTGCCGGCTGATTGCAGTTTGGCAGATCGAATCCCACCAGGCTCAAGGTTGGCTCAGCCTTCCATGCTTCCAAGGTGGGTAAAATGAGGACCCAGATTGTTGGGGTCAATATGCTGACTCTGTAAACTGCTTTGAGAGGGATGTAAAGCAATGTAAAGTGGTATATAAGTGTAAGTGCTATTGCTATTGCTATTTCTAAGTGATTATTAAGTGAAGTAGTCACATGATGTTTCATTTTATGACCCATCATTTAGTAATCACAATTCTGATCCCAATTATGGTTGTCATTCAATAACTTCCTGTAGCTGCCCTTCTCCAATATATGGTTCTGGGCGGCTCAGAAAGAATTACAAAACAAAATAAAACACCAAAATAATGTAAATATAATGATTGAAGAAAATAAAAACCAAGCAGCAAAATTCATAGCTGAGCTATTCTATGAATAACCAACAATGCAACCAGATTTATCTCCTTCATTCCCAGATCTCTGGATGGCAAAACCAATTTTCAGAATGTCTCAGGGGATGATTTTCTTGGGGGTAGTGGGGGGGGATGCCATGGTAGAAAACTCTTTCTTGACCCTGCTAGACAACAGTCCCTGGCAGATAGGCAGATAGAGCATGCCTCTTCTGCCTGAGGGAATGGTAGATGTGATTGGAGAAAGGCTGTCCTTCCATTTGACCATGAGATAAGACAAATATCAGCTTATGTCCCACACTATATGAAGCTATTGTGCGTTTCAGCCCATCTGACTGTAATTCAAGTCACATTGACAATGCACAATGTAATGCTTTTGTCTTATTTTGAGGTGTGGTTTGGAGAAGAATTAGTGGCCCGGGTCATGTTCCCACAGCATGCTTATTTAATTCCTCTTTAGTTCTGCTTATTATCTTCCTGCCATGTTTGTCACCACATTGGGTTTGTGGTAGTGGAGGGTGGGTATTTCTGCATCCTCATTAATCGCTATAATTGATTCTGAATGCAGTGTTGTTGTTTTTATTTCCTCAAGAGAAGTGGCTGCCTCAGTTATGCCTTTTGTTGTTGTTTTTTCCCCTGAGAAGATTAACAAGAAGTGAGGGTCATTCCTGAGGGGCCCAGCTGCTGTGAGAAGAACCAAGGGGCACTGCAGGACCAGGCACTTCCAGCAGAGGACCAGGATCCCTCAGAGGGCCTACAAGAAAGAAAGAAGAGAGGCTTTGTGCAAGCAAAGACCAACTATGCTCTCCTCCAGCATTCAGCGATGGAGAATTTGATGGAATGAGAATCAGCACGATGCACTCACTGGACTGTGGAAGAAAGGTGCCTGGGTGCTACAGGGCCCCTCTCCCCACCCTGATGGGAAGGAGGGAAGCTACCACACCATGGGCAAAATAGCATCTCCAAACTGGACCAACTGAAATCTTCCTTTCCAAAACCATTTTTCTGTACTCTGTGCAAACACGACAGGGTGGGATGGCTGCAAGATGTGGGCGCGGGAAGGGTTTTATACATTTTTGTATCTTTGTAATCAGAGAGAAGAGAAATTTCTATGGTTATTTTTACGGTTCTTCTGTTCCCATTGTTGTGATGCTGATCTTATTTTCTAGCTGTCCATGATGCATTTGGACTGTGGCATGAGGCGATGTTATGCAGCCTTTCCCGGTAAAGCTCAAGGCAGAAAAATGGAGGGACCTTTTCTTGCAGACTTTTTTCAGGTTGTGTGTTAGGTTGGTCTTGTTGAATGTCTATATCTTATCTCCTCATGAGCCAGCAGTAAGTGGCAAGTATTGTGCTGGGACAAGGGTATTCTCACTACTAAATTAAGTCAGCGCATTTGTAACTGAGTTCTAGGATCTTATTTGCTTTGTCATATATTCCCAGTCTAACAAGCCTGGGACCCAAAACAGCTTTGTATACTTTCTAATGCTAGAACAATTACACATTTTGGGAACCTCATGTATTTATATATTCTAACAGAGTTGTATTGATACTCTTCCTGGAGTGTCTATTGTATTAGCAGGGTGGAATCAGACATATTTTTGAACTTGGCCTTAGTTGAAATTTGTTTTGGCACTGGATGCTGCCTTTGAAACACACATGAGAGTAAGTTTTTTTTTTTCAAAAAAAAAATTTGAGTCTATTTTCCTCCTCCTCTCTAGCAAACGTTTTACCCCCAAAACAAACGCCTGCATCTGGTAACTCTGTGTGTGTTTGTGTGTGTGTGTGTGTGTGTGTGTGTGTGTGTGTGTGTGTAGAACTCAT